GGGTGAAACCACCCCTGGGTTTGCACCTCGTGTTGGGCGTTTCTGGCTGTATCAGCCAGAAAGGAGCAAAAACCCTGCACCTATGTGGGTAAAAATCCCTCTTGCGATGTGGTTTAGATCTGAGGGTGTTTGTTGATGGAGCTCATGAAAACTGTGCAGAGCAATGGTTGTTTTTTAAGCTGTTGTTGGCTGGTAGAAAGCCTTGAGCATGCATGAGGACCTCCCCATCCACCCAGGATGGTCTCAGGGAGACAATTGCCCTGTAAAACCTCTTTGGCCTTTGGGAAAGCAGGCAGGCATGTGGGGAGGAAAGAAATAGTCTTTTCCAGGTGAACCCACAACACGTCTGCCAGGGCTTTGGGGATAAATGGGAGGAGGTTTGCTAGCTCATGAGCACTTTTAGAGATGTTTTATCTGGAGGGCAAAACCAGGAGGTGATAGGGGCGATATGAGGCTCTCCCCTCTCCCGCTCTGTCGCTCCTGTCTCATCATCAGGCACCGTTTGAAGGTGGTGGGTAGCAAAGACGCTGGAGGTAAGTTCAGGAAGAGACGATGACAAATGGGCTTACAGAGGCTGGATTTATAGGGACTGACTGAACTAGGTTTGTGGAAGCGGTGGGGGGGGGCTGCTGGGTGGTGCCAGGGCTGGGGCTTTGGCAAGCGCTGTCCTGCTCCCAGGCTGTGGGGTCCACAGGACATGGGAGCCTTTGCCCTTGCCTGGGATCCAGGGTCTGGCATGCTGCTGGACCTGGGAACGTGCTCCCTCGTGCTGCTGCCTTTTCAGCAGGCATGGGGTGGTCTTGAACCCCACTGCAATGCCCGCCCCCCCCGCGGGGATGTTCCTGGTGGGGCAGCTCTCAGAAAGCACTGGTTTTTCTTCTAACGTGGCAGAAAATCACAAAGAGGGGAGCTCCGGGCAGCGGAGACGAGTTGCTGAGATGCCAGCACCATCCCCATCCCACTCACCCACAGCTGCAGAGCCTGCAGGGGAAACTGGTTTTGGCTCCACACCTCCCTTCTCCTTCTCTTGCTGTTTCTCCAGGAATACCAATGGAGGCTGCCAGGTGTCAGCTCGGAAATCTTTTAACTTTACCTCGTCTCCCCAAATGAACAATGTCTCCGCTCATTAGGTACCCGCCCAGGGGGCAGATGTCAGCTCCGCTCATGGCTTTTCTCAGCTCATCTCTGCCGAGCCTCTTGATGACTTCTGAGCGCTCAGGTCCCATCACGTCATGCCGGCTCCTGCCCGCAGGGCTGCCCACTCTGCCTGCCTGGCGGCCGTGCTCATCCCAGGCCCCTCCACTTTGGGCTCATCACCCCCACCCCTCTTGAGGAGTGAGGTTTTGAAGGATGTTTTGTTAAAAGGCTGGAAAATAACGGGCACCGGTGGCACAAGCATGGCGTGTGTGTGAGTGCGTGTGTGTGTGCAGAGCTGGAATCGTTTTTCCTTGCCTGGCCAGCGCCTGGGAGGAGAAGCCTTTGCTGAAGCCCGCCCTTTGAGGCTGATGTGTCCCGACAGCTTGTTCACTGGGACATTAAAATCATTGCCTCTGTCTGCGTAAAACACCCAGTAAGGCGGATGATGGGAACACAGGTCAGGGGAGGATCGTTCTCTCCCCTGCATGATGAGCGGTGGCACTGAAAACCCCAAGCAGCAGAACAAAGCGGATCCCAGGGCCACAGAGGCTGCTGCATCCTGACTGGATGTGAGCAGGGTCTCCTCTGACACAAAAGGGGCTGGAAGCTTTGGGGGGCAACACAGACAGAGCTGTCTTGCTGAGATTCCTGTCTCTAAGGTGTACCACAGCTGAGGGATTTGGTGATACAGTGGGATAACATCCCCATCCCATCCAGCGCCTCCCTCACCAACTGCGCAGTGTGTTTTCCCAAAGAGCTTGAGTTTTCCCTGGGGGTAGGTTGCAGCAAAGCAAGAGAACATCTGCAAGCTCTCCATACTCTCTGCAGACCTTGGACCTCAGACAGGTGCCCCACAGTCCCAAACACAGGGGAGTGTGTTTGCAAGATGTCCTATGGGCACAAACAGCCTGGCACTCCCAGGTGAGGGGATGCTGGAGTCCAGCTTGTCTGGCTGAGTTTACAAGGAGAGGCAGGCTGGGTTTTGGAGCAGGTTTATTTTTGGGGAGGAGGGTGGGCAAGGTGGGATGATGGTGGTATGTAGTAGGGGATACAGGAGGACCTGCTGGTATTTAGGATGGTAGAACAGGGCAGTGTGCCAGGGTCTGGAGGGAGCTGCTTCTGTACCTCTAGCCCAGAGTAGGTGTAGAGATGGGGAGACTCTGGGCAAGGCTGCTGAAAATCTGGTTTTGTCTAAGCAAGCTTTCCTTTGAGGAACCCTTAAAACTGCTTCCCAGTGTGACCTGATGAGTTGGGCTGGGCAGTAAGGCAGCGTGTGAGCTGGGGTGCTCTGGACACCCACCAGGGCAGTGCCAGGGGTAGCCCCTGTGCCTCGGTGCTGCTTTGGATGGCTGCAGATGTCCTCAAGAGCAGTGCTTACCATCTTGCTCAGCCTGAGGGAAAGTGGAGGAGACATCACAGCCTTGTGGGACTTGCTCACACGTGGAGGTACCCACCAGCTCACCTCTGAGGCTGGGCACAATACGGGAGCCACACACAATTAGATCACCTTTGCATCCTGTTGATGCCACATGGTCAAACCCTCTTTGGACAACATTTGGCCACATCTCCATGATTCCTTCTTAGCCATTCCAGAAGAAATGTTGCAAAATTTTGAGCCTGCTGCAACAAGGTGGCCGAGTCCTCCAGCATGCGTGGCTGGCATCAAGCTGAGGGTGCTGCTGAGCTCCTGGAGAAGTGCTGTCCTGTGTGGGGTCTGTGCTGCTCAGGGGACTTGGTGCCTCTATGAGGTAAGGATACTGTAAGGTCATAGTCTGCAAAGGCTGACTTTTGAAGGGACTGGCCACATCAGTGCATTGGAATTCATTGCATCCTCAGGTGCTGTTACCTGGGAGCAATAGGTGTGATTTTTCTGGGAAACACAGGCATGTCCATACCTGGTGGTGACCCGCACCTTAATCACAGAAAACAGGAGTTCGGTGGCTAATCGAGCATGTAGTTTGACCAGCTTCTGTGCATCTCAGGGGGCTACCAAACATAGAAATAGCAGTTTTAGAGACTGGCCTACAAGTCTATCATCTGCACGAAACATTTAGAGCAAAAACCTGTGCTGGAAGCAGGAGTTTGTGTGTGAATGTGCACATGGTGCACAGTGCAAGGCTACAGGGTCATGGTTGGGATCTTGCTGTGGAGCATGTTATTGTAAGGGCGGAAGGGTTGTAATGTAACCAGAAGCAGGGCTGCTGGGAGCGGGACTAATATTTGATTAAGAAAACTGCTGACCAATTCTTTAATGATGCATTTCCTGAATACTAAGCCTTGTCTTGGGATAAACTCAAACCTATGACCTGAAAGACAAATAGAAGTTTCTTTCTTTGTGAATTCACAGGCTGCGTGGCTGTGTGTTGCTGTTCTGCACCTGTGTGGGCAGCAGGGAGGCAGGATGTACCCGCAGGGCTGGGACGGGAGTTTGACCAGAAGTTTGTGCTGATCAGCATTAAAAAATTACCAAGGATTCCTTTGCTCGGGGCTGGTTTACCCCTGCACTTCCCCATCCCCCTGGTTGCTGTCAGCCATGGCAGTGGTGCTGGGAGGATGCTCTTGTGGGTTCTCGGGTAGGGGGACTGGCCAGGCACCCCAGGGTGCTGAGATGTTGTGCTGCCTTCCAGGTCCTCCCCTGCTACCTCTGCTGCTGACCCCCAGCCCTCTGCCCCACGGCCACCCTGACCTGCCTCTGCTACTCCTCCAGTGGTGAGTCACAGTTTGGGTTTTCTGTCCTTTCCAATTATTTTGGCAATTTTTTGGGGACTTGTGCTGCCATCTGGGGATGCAGTCACTATCTTGGAGGACATGGCTGCCGTTCAGAGATGCTTATAGGATATTCTGAGGGGAAAAAACCCATTAATTCTGAGGATAATTGGTCACTGAGAGAGGCTGCGCAGTCTCCATCCTGGGAGGTTTTCAAGTCCCAGAGGGATGAAGCTGTGGGAAACCTGGTCTGATCTTAGTGCATGACACTGCTGTGAGAAGCAGGCGGGGCCAAAGACTGACCTTGGGGGTTCCGTGGGCTTCCCTTTCACCGATGGGCTCCTTCCCATGGCAGCGGCATCTGCCCCTCATGACCAGGTGGCTGGGGCTGAGCGTAGCAGCTGCTGAATCACCAGGAAGAGGAAGATAGGTTTCCCCTTCAAACACCCAAGCTGTCCCAGCATATCAAGAGCAGCATCAAGTCCGAGCAACAAGTGAGGCCTGCAGTTTGCCCATCCCACTGCCTGAAGAATATTTTAGGTGATGGAGAGGTTTTTCTGCCCTCTGGCACTCAGCTTATTAACGGCTCAGGCTGCTCGATTGATTTTATTGATGGGCAATGCATGCCCCAGTTAACTTATTGGGAGCAGCAGCAAAAATAAAGCAATAAAAATAACCCTGTGCCCATGTCATGGAAACGTGCTGGATTGTTTCCATTGCTGTGGTGGTGTGATTTCTGGATGAAGGAGACCCCTGGATCATGCTCCCCACCAGGGTACAATTCCCACAGCTGGACCACTGGGCTGAGGTCACCTGGGGGTCTTCATGTCCAAGGGATCCCCTCCTCCCCAGCCTAGCTCTTTGGGTGACTTTGCTTTGTTGGTAGCTTCTGGGGTAGGACCTGGCCAAACCTGCTTTGAATGCAGAGAAAAATCTAGGCAGGGCTTTGCTGTCTGCCCCATAAACAACATGGAGATAATGTTCCCAATTATTTTGTGTGTCTCCCCAACCCAAACCATGTTTTAATCCTCTCTGAAAGTCACTTTTCCTGGATGGTATGCAGCCATCGAGTGTTCCTCTGTGCTGTGCCTAATCTCTGCCCTGTCCTGGTCTGCAGGCTCATGCCGCAGACCCCTGGTTTCTACCCTGCACTCAGCATGCCCTTTTCTGGTGCAACCGGACCCTCCGAGGATACACTCTGGAGCTCAAGGCCAGCCTGCAGGGTAAGGTAAGGTGAACTCAGTCCCTTTCCAAATCCTGGGAAGGGTCTTTGCTGTTGCACTGCTGTCTCCTTTAGGCTGTAAAACGCCTGTGGAGAGGATGTGGTTGGGCTCTGTTGCCCCTCCACATGAGAGGCAATGCTGCAGCATGGGCAGAAAAGGGAAGGGGGTTTTGCTCCCTGCATGGTGCAGTCCTGCTAACAGGGCTTTTATGAAAGGTGTGTTTTGCTGCTGGGACCTCTCCCTGCTAAAGGGCCGGTGCAGTGGAGCATCTGGGCAGGTCTCCTGTCCCACCGCCTCTGCCCTCCTCTCACTTGGTCACCTGCTTTCCACCACGTTGGTCACAGGGGTCCATTAAAACCAGCTAAAGAGCTAAGCTGGGAAGTGCATAGATGGGGTCATTTTCATCAGCCGCTCTGCTTTTGTTACTAAAATAGATCTGCATTGGCCTGGGGCCATCGCATTGTCCCAGACATTGACTATCGCAAATGGACAGCGGGGCAACATTTTCCATTAGTGAAGAGGAGGATGTGCATCTCTGAGTGAGAAGACAGCTCCATAAAGCAGAAATGTTGTAGTGACAGACAAATCCACCTCTCTTCTCTCCCTTTCCTTTTAAAAGTGTCACTAATCCCTGTTTTCTGCACATAAAACCCTGGGAGAGACTGGCCAGAGCAACACCCCATACGTAAAACAAGATGTGTTTTAGATAATGGGATGTAAGTTTCTCAGAGCAGCTGCAGGTGACCCAGTAAGATGCAGCAAGGGTAAAACTTGCCCAAAAACCTGCCAGGAGGCTTGTTCACAGTCACTGACAACAAGGTGGGTACTGGTTATGCCTGGTCTTGAGCATGCATCGTCTGAGATCTCTGCCATCACCATCTGCGGCTCCTGTGTGCTATGGGCTGCCTCTTACAAACACATTCATCTGTACAGGGGTTTTTGGGGTGTGGAGAGCAGTTTTGTCTTTCCTACTGGTAGCCTGGAGGCCATGAGCTGAAAGAAGGATGCACTTGGGAGTGCATCCCTGGAGGGCCTTGCCTCTGCCCTGCTTGCTGGCATCTCCCTGAGCATGGCAGGTCTTGAGGAAGGGCTCCCCATCGCCATCCCCAGGAAAACGGGGACACAGCCTTGCTGGGGGAGCTGAGTGTCCAGCCTGTGACCAGGTACCCAAACTGTCCTCTTACAAGCACTCATAACCCCAGTCTGTCCACCAAGCGTGTTTTGTTCTCTGGCTTTAGTGAAGACACTTTTTTGCAATAGGTGGTTATTAAAGCATCATTTAAATGAACATCACAACATCCCACAGCTCCCATCTCCCTCCAAGAAGGTCTCTGACCTCATTTTTCTGCCTTCCCATGCTCACTGTCCAAGATCCCATCCCTTCTCCCAGGCCTGTGCCTCGACCCCTATCCCTCATCCACAGGCAGGAGAGGAGCCTGGCATCTGGCTCTGTGCAAGCCAGCATCTTCTGGCTCAAAATCCAAAGCAAGGTGTGGTTTGCACTTTAAATGCTAACCCCTCTTCAAGGCTGTGTCTTAGACCTCTTGCCCCGTGGGATTTCATCCTTTGATCTCAAAGCTGATCCTATGCATGTAGTACCATGACTACTTTATAGAAAAACTACAGGTGTGAGGGACACTTGGAAGAGGACTCTGTTTTTGGAGACCAGTTGGCACTGGGAGACTGCTGCTGCTCCATCTCACATCAAGGCAATGCAACGAGTGGTCACTGCTGATGCTGGGCAGCCAGAGATACTGTGGGGTGATCAAGGTGTTTGCGTAGGAAGTGTCCATGCTGGCAAGGGGAAAAGGCTGCAACACAAGGCTGTGGGGTGATGGTGGGGATGTGCCTGCTAGCAGCAAATGATTTCCCAATTTGACCCTTCTGCTTAATCTGAACTTGAAGGTGAACGAGCAAAGCCAGCACCATCGATCCGGGATGCGGCTGATGAGTGCCATGCCCTGCGGAGAGCTTGGCCCCCTGTGTCAGGTCCCTTTCTCACCCCTTTTTTTTTCCTGCCTCCCCTTCACGCCTTTCCAAAGCAATCAGTCAGAGCGGGGCCTGGCGCGGCACCCCATGCCACGAGCACCGCTGACCTTGCTGGGGGCCAGGAGGATGGCATATAGGTGCCTGCAGAGAGCGGCCACGCTGTCTGATAGGCTCCTCCCAGCCGCGGCACATCAGCTCAGGGCTGCTGGGAGGCACATCCTAAAGGCAAAGGGGTTGGTACCGATAAAACCCATGCTGTGTGCCAGGAGACACGTTTCTCCTAGGTAATGAAGTTGCCTGCTGAGCTGCACGCCGATTCTCCTGACTCAAGGGGGTCTGAGGTCTTACCAAGCAGCAATACGTTGATGGTGTTTAATTCCGACTCGGCTGGCGGGGCACAATGTAACCTGAAGCATCTCCATGCTGCTCTGAGGTCTTTAGATAAAATGCCATATGAACTGGCACACACATTTATATATGTGTATATCTATTTCTTTGACCCATTGGGAAAAAACCTGAGTGTAGGTTGGAAACATAGAACTTGCCTTGGCTAATACGTGGTAAGCTCCTTTTTTGGGGAAATAAAGATGATGTGCCTTCCCTCAACATCTTCTGTGCTTTAGCCACAGATTTTCTGCAGCTGAAAATAACAAACCATTTTAATCTAAGTATTGCTTGTTCTGATCTTTTAATCCAGCTTGCTTTCTATTGACAGAGTGGCCTAAAATTATTTCTCTGCCTGCCTCTCTATTATATAATTATTCAGAAGATTACTCTGGAGCCAGATTTAGCTGGGCATCGCTGGGGAAGGATGAGGGGGCTGTGAACGGGGAGCTGCAAGGCTGGAAGGTGAGGGGAGCTCCCTCGTTGCCCTGGCAAGTTGGCCATCTCAAAATGCTTGAGGGGAAAGCAGCAAGCTGAGCACTTTTGACTATATCCATAGTTGGCAATGGAGTATGGCAAGTTTTTCCCTCAGCTTGTATTTGTTGGAATAAAATGTCCAATGGTCTGGCTGGTGGCTGGAGAAGTGTGACCATCTGAGCCAGAGAGGATTTCAGGTGAATCCTTGCACTTCTCTACACTGTGTGGGGTGTTTTATGGCTGTACTTCTGTTTTTGATAACAGTGTGGTAAGACAGTTTGGCCTTGGGAAGGACCTGGAAATGGGGACTATGCTCCTGATACCTCCCCTCCCCATGCAGAGCCGTGTGTAGGGGGAACAGACGTGATGGAGAACCACTAGGTTCTCCAAGACAACCAGGTTGAGTGCTGGGCTGGGATGTAGTGGTGATGCCAAGAAGGCACAGAGATGACCATAGCTGTGGTAGATTCACCTGGGGCTTTCTGTTGGCAGGGGTGAGGAACAGGCGTATCGCTGGCATGACAAGATGGCAGAGCCCAGGGGTTTGCCAGGTAGAAACTCAGACTGACAGTCAAAGGCAGCTTCTGGCTGGCAAAAACTATGGGCTTGAGCTTTGATGGGAAAAACAAGAGGATGTCTTGGGCTCAAAAAATTCTGTTTCACTTCCCCAGACTGAGTGCCCTGACTCCAATAGGCTGGTACCGAGGAAAGGCTAGGAGCTGCTTGGCCTGTGGACCATGGCTGGCTGGGATGTGGTGGCTCAATGCTCTGTCCCCTGGGAAATACAGAGCTGGGGCAAGGAGGGACCCCCAGCATCAGTCACAGTTGGATGCTGGGAGCTGGGTCTTGCCTTGCCTTGAGGACCTTCTGCAGCAGAACATCCCGAGAATTGTGCTGGGTTTTAGGATCGGCCAATGTCTGTGGGGGGACACTTTGAAATACCCTTTGAGTCTGGCTTGGTCACACGGTGGTGGGGGCAGGCGATGCCCACCCAGAGCGTGCCACACTCCCTCCACCTTGATTGGTCCTTCTAAGCAAACTGTTTCAGCAGTCCCTCTGCCTCCAAAGCAGGAGAGCTGCCATCTCTTGGAGCCATTGGTTGGTGCGAGGAGGGAAGGCAGAGGAGGACAGGTTCAGGACCAATGTTGGAACATGAGAGAATCTTTTTTTAGTGATGAAGCAGTTGTAACACATCCCCTTCCTCTGAGGCTCAGGGAGCCAGCTGAGCTCTGGGGTCTGCAGTCAAGGCTTCAGCCTGGTCCTTCCCTCCACTGCTGCAGTCTCTGAGATGGATGGTTTAGCACAGCCCATCCCCAGGAGCCAAATGTGCATTGCTCTACGCCCTCCTCTCCCTCCCAGAGGCTCTACCCATGGCGTGGGTGGGCAGGCACCACTTTGCTGGTACCATGGTAAAGCATCTCCAAATTTTTCCCTGCACACAGGCAGTGCTCCAGTGCTCGTCTCATACCCGAGCTCCTTTCTCCTTTATGTTGAAAGCGTTGGCTGGTTTGCCCTCATTGCCTGGAGGTAACCCGATTTGCTCAGTGGCCTTTAAAAAAGTTTAAAAAAAAATAAATAATCAAAGCCCACTGAAATGACAAGAACATCAGCGGTGGGTGCATCCCTCTTTCCAGCAAACCGAGGGATTTGAGAGAAAATGGGTCACGTGCTCTTCATCCCATGCCACGTGGTGGCTCTCCCAGGGCCAATGAGGTTCGGAGCCCTCTGCACCGTACAGCAAAAAAAAATCACTGGGATTTTTTCCCCCCCCATAGCATTTTTCATCCCTTCCAAACGTGAAAAGACTGGCCATCTGTCCGGACCCCCCTCACACCAAATCGGTGCTAAAGCGGCTCTTTGGAGAAGGTAAGAAGATTTAAAAGGTTGTATTGGTGGAAGACCACTTGCTGCGAGCAACTTTTCCTATGGCTGAAAATCAGGGAAGAATCATGAAATGAGTCAGGTCTGGGGCTCCAGTATTGGTTAAAAGAGCTTTGAATGCTTAAGAGCCATCTTAAGTGAATTTTTTTGTAGAGGAAATTTAAGTCTGTGTTGGAGGATGGTGGGATTATGGAAGAAATAGGTGCGTGAGCAAGGGGGTTAGCTTAAATTAGCAGCTGCTTCTCAAGGCTTGCCTATAAAATATTTGC